TTTTTTTCCCCTTTTTTTCTCGGAGGGTGGACAGACCCTATTTATGTACCCCTTGCCTGTCCACGCTATGCACCATTGCCACCAACATTTAACAGAGTTTAGGGCTGCGGGCTATGTGAGCCTAACCACCCAACACAGACTAAGAAAGACTCCCCCTTCCTTGTCCTTTCAAGCTTTTGACATCCTACCTACGATCTATTTTTATTTACTCTTAGAGGCTGTAGTTCTGTCATCTCAGGGCTTGCCTTGGGCGATTTAAGCAATTTCCCTCGGCATGGAGACTCGTATGTTGCCCATTTAAGCAAGGTTGGAGAAGCATATTAATCGCAACAGTCACAATACGAGTCCTTACCGTGTCATTGTGTGTAGAGCGAGTCATCTTCGGCCACAGCCAATAGATGAATAGAGAAGGTACCATTAACCTCGAGACCACCTAGGCCCGAATGCTATACCTACAACTACCTTCGTGTCAGCATTCCTTCAACCTTTTGGGGTACTATCCATCATGTTTCCTCTTACTTGGACCCGTCCTGACGTATGGCATCCGAGCGCCTCTTGTTTTCGACGTCAGGAGAAGGTTGTGAGACCATAAGGTGACGTAATAACATGTAACATACGTGCATACGCTCTTGCTTCCTTCTAATGGGCTGCATTGTAAACATAGTATGTTTTCAAAAAGGAATATAAGTAGGGAAGCCCATCGCAGTGTTTTGATACTCATCATTATAGACCACCAACAATCCAGCATTCTAGCCAACTCAACTCCATCTCCTCTTCAAGAAACCCAACAACCTCTCTCTTCCCTCCAAAATCCACAACAATGTTCACCTCCATACTCCTCACCGCGGCCTTTGCCATCCTCTCTGCCACCGCCAGCCCCGTTGAGCGCCGTGCCGCCGCAGTCGCCATCCGAGACACCTACCACGGCATCGACATCATGATCCGCGGCGGCACTCCGCCGGGCCCGGAGTACATCCAGCAGCTGCGCGTCGAGCTCAACCAGCTGACCTCGATCGACCACGACGACGTCTTCGAAATCTCCTTCAACCAGGACGACTCCACAGCCTCCAACATCGCCGATATCAACAAGGTCGAGTGCCGCGCCTACAAGGACGCCGCCGGCGTCGTGTCCGCCGGGGCACCCTTCACCAAGGCGAAGCCTACGCACATTAGCGATTATGGCGCGACCGTTAGCAGCGTCCTCTGCTACACTATTGATGACAGCGAGTAGACGTTTGTCTTGGGACAGCGATGGGCCTCTTTTAGGAGGGCACTGTGATGATGAAGCGAGGTGTTGTGCTTATGGAAAGTAGGACCAAGTCCTCGTGTTTGCTTTGCTGTTACTTCAGAGATACTTCGGATAGGTTCAGGCAGACTGCATCTAATGTTCTCATCTACCATTTCACGACACTGCTCGACCAGAGACTTTTGTTAGCCATTGATCTGATAATCCATATCAATGCAACAGACAACTGAAGGTGCTTGTTTCTCATCGTCTTTTAATCTATCTTCATCGTATGAAGTCTTTGCTACCTTTCATATCCGAAGCCGGTATTAGCGGTGTCGAGTGCAATCCACATACGTACTCTGTCAGATAAGTTCTCCCGAGGTCGTTTAATAAATGATGTTGAATAAATTTCATTCTCCCAATGGCCGCTTAGGGTCATTTAGTCCGTACCCGGGTACCCAGAACAAGCTCTCTAACAACCTCCTAAGGAAAAGCTTATTTAGCATTGTTCATTGCCGATCTTTAGAGTCGTCTATTCAGATGGAAGGTCGGCGCATGAGAGTTGTAGACGGCTGCTAGTGCAATAGACGAACGTTGCAAAACCAGGAACACTAACAACAACAACAACAACCTAATGGGGTCCTTGTACAAAAAGGCGTCAACGTAGATAGGGCAGCTTAATAAGTGAATTGTCCTTACAAATGTAAAGGGTCGGTCTACATGTGACTTCGGGGGGTGTCCTTACAATGTGAGGCGTTGTGAGATGTCTTCTCGCTGTGAGGTGTATTCTCGTTGTGAGATCTAGGAATTCGAGCAATGTCGCTTTCGCACGAAATGAATACTCCGCCCGCCCTATCCACTTTAACGACCTTCTGTGCAAGGCAAAGCAGAGACCCTGGGTCTTTGATTAGTTGTATACGCGACTCTGGAGCAAGGAAATTTAGGACTACAGTAGTGTAGATCTTTTCAGCTCGGCTTCACCATTTGTTCTATTTTTAGAGGCTGCCTTTCTGCCGTTCGAGGGCTTCTTTCGCAAAATATTCAAACATTTCCCTTAGGCGTTGGACAATCTGGAGACTCGTATTTAGGTCGATACTGTGATCGAGGAGACTACCAATGCATCAGCAGCTCCCGATGAACATCTACATTCGGCGTCGTAGACTGTGATCTTCGTGTCAGCATCACCCGAGATGGCAAAGCCCTTGTCCACTAGTACTCTTTTCTTTTGCTTTCGAGGCTAAAAGCAAACGCGAGTGACGTAATCTGCATGTCGCCGCAGTGACAGAGCCATACATGCGGCATTGCTTCCTCTCAATGCACCGCAAGGTCAACGAGTCCAGAAGATATATAAGAGGAGGAGATTGCTCACTACGATGGCCGGTACTCTCATCATTCTAGTTCATCACTCTCAGCAGCACTCTAGACGAAGTCTGCTCTCTCCACTCTCGGAATAATCACCAGAGCCCCCCACGAAATCCACTTTCGACTTTGCTTCCAAAAGAACACATCCGCCAAAATGTTCAACCCCATTCTCCTTACCTCGGCCCTTACCGTCCTCGCCACCGCCAGCCCCGTCAAGCAGAAGCAGCGTACTACTGTCCCCTCAAACTGCTACGGTATCGGCCTCTCCCTAGCCATCGGCGCTGGCCCCGACGGCGGCAAAATCTACTATGAGCCCGCGCCCATCGAGATGAACAAGCTCACGCAGATTGATGCCAAGAACGTCGAATACATAGTCTTCGTCGACGGCTCGGCCTCGCACGTGCCTATCGACCAGGTCGCATGCCGCACCTTTAGCGACGCTGACGGCGTGGTGCCGTTGAACTTGCCCTTCACTAAAGCGTACCCGAGTGTGTTCATCGGCGTCGAGTACGTCGGAAGCATCCTCTGCTATGTGCGACCGGACTATGAGAAGGACAACCACTACGAAGAGAACAACAACTAGACGATTCTGGTTGGTTGTCGAGGAACGGCTTGGATTGGATTTCCTTATTAAGAAGGCGCGCGATGAAGAGGATGGGAGAGGAAGTTGTGCTTGTGTTTCGTTGTTTTGCAGC